TTTGTGTAACATAGAAGATATTTTTCAGCAAAGAGAGTCATGTACAACCCAACATGCCCACAAACTGGAAATGAAGCAAGTTCTGGCATTTAGCTACCCCTAAGATGATAAAACTCTTTCAGTGTGAAGCTTACCTGGTAAAGTCCACCTTGAACAAGTGCGAAGAAAAGTCCAGAAGTGGCTGCATTTGCTACCTGGTTGGGGCCACCCATGCCACTCACCAATGAAAACATGGCTCCAGAACCAAAAGCCGCTACCATACTGCAATAAAAAGCCGTCAATTTTAAGCAAGTATAGAGGAAAGAAAATTGGTATATTGCAACACTCTAGACCAAGTTGATGATAAATGAATTTCATCACACTCCACTGCAACTTTAGCATAATACCTTCAAACACCACCACATGCTTTTGTTTCTTTCTTTGCTTATTTTTTTTTTTTTTTTCTTCATTTTTTTTCCTTTTATAATGAGAGCAGTTGTACGTGTAAACAAAAATCAAAAGTAATCACAATAGCAAGAGTATGATCTTTAGGAAATCTGCCCAAACTTATATGACCACAATTCATATCTAATTTAAAACTGTAAATAGCATAACCAAAGAATTCACTAGCCCTAAAAATGTTGCATCTTTATAGTCTCAGGTATAGAATCGAAGACAGTGCACTAGACTGTAAAATGAGAGAAAGCTAGACACGTGAATTGAGTTTCTCTTTCCCAAGTGGATTATTAGAACCTATTTTAAGGTCCATTTTCCATCCCTCCAATTGGCCAACAATAGCTTCAAAGATAAAAGGCAACACATCTATTCCTCTACCTATGGCAGGGCATGTTCACACGAAACATTGAAAGATAGTTAACCACGAGTTGGAATTTTAAGGGCCAAAATCAGTATAGTTAGCAAGCTCCAAAGATTCCATGTGTGCAGAAAAATAACAACAAATTACCAAATTAATGTGCTGATTCAGTATGGATTTAACAGCATGGGAAGAAACTCTTCTAATTAAAAGAGTTCAGAATAACAGAGGAAACTTGGTGCATAGAGTGATAAAACAGACGATTTATGGACAAATTACAATCCTGCTAAGAGGTGTCATCATCAACCCAAACGAATATTGGTGACTTCAGAAAGGAAGAAACTTCCTTAACCACACATCAAGGTGATTCCAAACATGCATTATGAAACAATTGCCCAATTATAATACACAATGACTTTCATTGCCATATCAAAGAAATTATGGTCGAACAAAAAGGCAGAGCAGGGCATGCCAAGAAAATCTGACCTAGATTGAACATCCTCCTTGCCTCGTAGTCTCTTCATAACACAGGATAGGCCAGCATTCACACCTGTCATCACAGCAAAGTTGCGAGCTTGTACCAAGGGACCTCCTGAAAGAGCCTGCATTCAAAGTAAAACCATCTATAACCCGTGCCAATAAGAACCGTTAACCTCTGCAAAAGTATCATGTTGTTCATCAATCCAAATTCTGCCGATGTTTCTAATTGACACGGTCTTAATAAAGTTAAAACTTTTCTACAAATGTTAAAAACAGAACAAGTCGTAAACAATCTTACAGCACTTAAAAATTGTAGGACACATAATACTGTTTCCAATAATGTGCACTAAGAACACTATTGTTTGGTTAAGGGACTAGAAAAATAAAAAATAACGATTAAAATCTTCTCTTAGGCTGATGAAAAATACTCAATGTCAACAATATGAACATGAAGGATGAGAATTTATGAATCTGCATTCCAAATTTTAAGAAGTTCAATTTTCAAACTCATGTAACCAAACAATTTCCCAGAGTTGAGTAAGCAAACTAACTGGATTTCATACGCTCTTTATCTTTGTAGAATAAATAAAGATTCATATTCGCTTTCTTTCTCTTTTCCTAAAGTTTCTAAGAATAAACTGGACAACTAAAGTTTAAAACACCAAACAATAACCAACAACAAAACCTTATCTCCAACAAACAAGCAACTTCTTTTCAATTCCTCCTTTTTCACTGAGCACGGGTTTGTTTGGTTACTGAGAAATCTCCAGAGAAAGAAAAACGGAAAACACGGAAATGGGTGTTCGAAAGCTCCACGCTTTCTCCAAAATCAAGTCAACGCAGCGAATAATTAAAAAAAAAAGAACAAAAAGAAAGAACAAACAAACAAACAAAGGAGAAGAAGAAGACCTGAGCTTGCTGGAAGGAGGCCATTGCTTGAGGGGTGAGGTTGGCCTGAGGAGGAGTGGGAATAGAGGAAGAGACGTCCTTGGTAAGCGTGCCCATGAGGCTGCCGATTCCGGCGCCCTGGGCGGCGCTGGTGACGGTGACGACGGCGGCTTCGACCGCCAGAGGCTGCTTCTCCAGCCATGCCTTGAACCCGTTTTCCAACTCCTTGTACTTGGCCTGAAATTGCTCTATTGGGTTCTGGTTCGGCAACCATTTCGCCACCACAATTCCCTGTTTCCCTTGCTCCATTTCTGATTTCTCTCACAAACGAAAAAACCTTCAATTAATCTTCTTCTGAATTCTGATTCCAGATAGTTTTCAAAAGTTTCGGTTTTGAGGATAACGAAGAAGGAAGGAAGATATTTATGTGTATATATAATAGAATATTATATATGTGTATATATAATTCAGGTAGAAGCAGCCTATCAGGACTGCTGACCAGCTAACCCTAAGTTTCCAACAACCTCTTTCGCTCCCAGCAAAAAAAAAAAAGAAAAAAAAGTACAACCTCTTTCGCCCGTCGTTACATAAATGATTTCCAAGTGCATAAAAAAAAAATATATATACATATATAGATATATATACATATATATATATATATCCACTTGACAAAGTCTTGGTTTTCCTTAAATTTCCTAGCAATTAAAGTGAATATTGAGTGGGGAGGGTTAGAATTAGATAAATTTATACACACGATATTAATTAGTGCACGTTTGGTTTATAAATTTAAAATCATGATTTATAATTATTCTCAGTTTACGTGTATTTAAAAAAAAAATAATATAGCGAATCACAAACTATGATTCAAATCATGACACGAATCCTCATACCAAATACTAATAGTTCATATAAATGAAAATACATATTACATTTTCAATCAGATTAATCGCGAGTCAGAAAGGGCTACTGCCTACTAGCATGTCAAAATGTGATGGTTTTGAGGCCAAGCCGCCGAGGGGTGTAACACATGTCCTCTTGTTTTATATACTTAAATTTAAATTATTAATTTTGTTATAATATTTTTTCTCATAAAATTTTAAATTTTAAACATCAGAGTCAATAATCATAATTTAATTATACATTTTAAATGGGTCCTCAACTTCTTAAATGTAAAATCAAAATTTGATTTTTAAAGAGAAACATCAGGATTTTAATTGAAAATTGACAAGTACTTAGGGTTGTTCTTTTGTCCAAAAAACTCAAAAAAAGACAACTTGAGTTCCAACTTTATTCAAGTTCATGTTCTTTTAAGTTTCAACTTTATTCAACTTTACTCAACTTTGTTCAAGTTACAACTTCAACTCAAGTTATAACTCAAATTTAATTCAAAAACTACACTTAAGTTACACTCTAAAAGAACAACCTCAAGTTGAGTACAGTGTGTCAAGTTTTGACCATCTGATGATGTATTTTT